ATAACGCACTTATTCAGTCAGTCGCACACAAAACCACTTATGAATCGTTCAACAGAGGAGCAAAAGCAGAAAAGATGGGATGGATGGATGGATATTACCATATGGTTTTTGGTACACACATTGAATACATACAAATTACACGAAAAGATATCTTCAATCAAAACTGATTTCAAGGAATGTAACTAACTGGAAGAACATTTTGAAGTCACCATTTAACCCTTTTTCTGTGACCATTGGGAAGATAAATTTGTGATTTCAACTATGTAGGAAGACGAGTACGTGTCTGTGGGTGTTTTGTGTTTGTACATATGAGTGCATGTGTGTATGTGTGTATGTGTGTGTGTATATATATATATGTGTGTGTGTGTGTGTGTGTGTGTTAAAACAATGAAATAAATTAGTAAGATGGCTACTACTACATTTACTCCTTCATCTATGTTAATTAATTAAAGCCAATTATTGTTCGAAAATTGCATCATTCTTTTCCATAATTTTGAATGAGAAATAACAAGAAGTTAACGGCAGACAGTGACCAATAAAAGTGAAAAGGACAATAAATCACTGTTGCGCTTCAGTAACTTACTTCAAATGGACATAGAGAAGTGTAATGACCGAATGGAAGCAGTTCAGATGGGATCGATATGACGAGAGTGTGTGAGCGTGCGCTGTTGTTGTCTCTTCGGTCGGCTGTTATCCATAAGTTGTGGGAGTCAAGTTGTCATCATACATGTATTGAAGAGCGGTGGAGAGATAGGTCAGGTCACTGGTCAACATGAGATGGCCTCAGCCCATCATTCTCCTGCTCTCTTTAACAACAATACGAGAAGAAACTGGATCACTTTCAATTCTTTCAAACAGCAAAGAGCGAGAAATGAGAATGAGAGATGGTATAGTACCATGTCACTATATCATACCATATATACTACCATCAACAGCAGCATCAATTACTACTACACTCCGTTTAAATGTAAAGATGGAAAGATGGTGGTTAAGATGAAGGAAGAGGAAGCCGCACATACTCATGCATCGCCTTATATTACTTTGACAACAAAGGACACTCACAATGCGTGGAAGCGGGCCGAAGACTGACCCTGATCGAGTACCATCCCGCCCATCGTCATCAACCGTCACCACCACCCTATCATTTATTGTTGTTATTTTATTATTATTATAACAATATTATTACTATTATTATATTATCATATTATTATTTACTATTATTTACTACTATACTACTACTACTACTATACTACTACTACTACTATACTACTACTACTACTACTACTACTACTACTACTACTACTACTGCTACTACTACTACTACTACTACTACTACTACTACTACTACTACAACTACAACTACAACTACAACTACAACTACAACTACAACTACAACTACTACAACTACTACAACAACTACTACTACTATATTGATGTAAACTTACACTCCCTTCTCGTTTTTATTCTCGTGGTTTTCAAAAAACTCGGGAGTACGAGAGTAATGATAAGTGATAGGGAAATTGCAAACCTCAGAAAGACTTTTCCAACTGTTTTCTCCATAAACTAGTAATATTTCACAATCTTGCAAATTTGGAAGTGTAATTTGATAGAAACATTCATTTAGTGATCATGGTCATTCACTGACGAATAAAAAAAAGATACCACGCAATGGTACGTGAGCTAATAATAACAGCATTTCATTGTTGTTCATTGTTGATGAAACAAATTGCATAAATATCCCACACGCAAGGGAAAATAGCATCAGGAATTATACAAAGAAATGTGACAAGAGTTTATCAGTTTCCCAGCATTACAAAAATGCATACATACCAAATAAAACAAAATCACGCATCAAAAAAAACAATTCTGAAAAAAGTCAAAGGGCCGTGTCGACAGTGTCACATATCCAGGACTTAAAACAAGCGGATCTTTAAATGTTTAACTATACTTCGAATCGAAATTATTCAGGAAGAACGAAATAAAAATTCAGATCGAACCTTCCACCAACACGCCAGCGCTTTCTTGGATCCGCTTAATTTCTTCGGCTTTCTCTTTGAAATAGTTCGCAAACCTATAACATTAAAAAGCAAAGATATCAATTTACAATAAAAAAATAGCAGATAATGAAACAAAAAAGTCTATTAAATAAGTCGTGTCTCGCAATTACGCATTACAGTCAGACAAAAATACTACATAATTAGATCGAAGAAATAGCTTCTAATAGGAAACAACATTTACGGTGGATTTTGTGATCGTGATAAAAGTGGAAAAATTGTATTGAATTTAAATTAAGACATGGAAAGTTACCAATCAAGATGTGCATGCTTTTTCTTAACAGACATATAAGGGTTTTTGGACAATCCTACACAAACTAGTTCCATGAACTGTGTGACGGGCCCTTCTTCCGGCAAATTGTACTGGGCGAGATATTTATCCAGAAATATGTGGTCGTAAAAATCGACCTAGAATTTTATTAAATTCACTTTCTAAAAAAACAGTTAATTTGAAGGGAATCACTCAGAAAACAACAGCAAAGTGGTCTCTATGCTTTAAAAAGCAAAAAAGAATGATTACATCTTCTTCTTCACCAATCTGATATTCATTATCGATTGGATAAGGCCACATCTTCCCCTGCTCTGTTAGCTCAATCATTTCTTCGAAAGCATTAGCCGGACCGAAGGAAGAGTTCCAGATCCTGAACACAAACTGCAAAAAATATCGAAAGACAAGATTCGATATTCCAATCCAGGTTATGTGAGAAAAAAGAAAAACAAGAAAGCTTCTTCAAATTGTTAAAAAAATTAAAAGCAAAACGCATACGCTGCAGCATTTTTATCCCATTCACACCACTGCTTCATTGAGTCATCTTTCAATTTTGGTATATCCGCTATTTTAAAAATGTTCAACTTGTTATCGATATTCTTGAATATATTCTCTACGCGACAATCAGGATGAATAACGTTGGAAAGCGCTATATGAGATTCCTCTGATGATAGATCATCCGGATAAAGCATTTTGCTAAAAAGTTAAACATGAATTTGAATATGGGTCCTTTTACCTATGAGAATTCCTTAAAAATTACAACACCACCTGGAGAAATTAAAAAACTGAAATAAGAGTACAAATATTTTTCAGATAATCTATAGTATTACTGACCACCTATACAAAGTCACCGTATCAAAACAATATATATAATATATTTAAACAGATGTGACGCTTTCAAGTGTATGTAATGCTTTCAAAATGGCAAACAAAATTTAGGGTTACGCGAACCCAATTTCGCTTTTCTATGATGCCTTTCTGTGGATAAGAACGAGAAATTTTTTCTAATGCTCTAACCGTCGACAAAACTTGATACTCCAAATAAGGTAAATTTTCATTTTTCAATTAATGTTACTGCTTTTTAAAAAAAAAAACAATCAATTGAAAAATGTTATCATAAAGATAAAAAATAAATACCTTGCTAACTGTAGTGCAATATTATAAAAAGCACTTTCTCTTTCAGTCTGTTCGATTTCTTCCAACATATTCTTTTTTTGCATTTCTGTATAATTTTGCATTAGAATTTCGTTTTTTCCAACTACCTTTTGTTCAGCAATTTTCACTGCACGTTCCGCAATTCTACGAGCATCCTCTGCTTTGTGACCCGACTGAAAACCAAAAACTTACATTTTCCAAAACTAAAAAAAAGGCCTTCTAAGATTCTAACAATCCCTTCACTAACTTTTACTGAGATAAGTTAACATTTATTTAGTTATCTGAAAACTTTTTTGAAATGGAATAGAAAAATGAAGGTTTTAATCCGGATCTTTGGAAATCCAGAAGATTTAGAAAACTGATGACTGAAGCAAATGAAAGGTGCACTGTCACCTGAAGAGCTTGATAAAATATTTCACGCTTCAGTAGTAATAGGCCTTGGCGCATTTGTCGCTTTTCCACAGCACTAAATCAATACGCTTTGTTAACATTACTTGAAAAAAAGCTCATGCCTACTAAAACAGAAATACCTTTGCTATTAGCGCCGAGAAAATGATTACCATAGGTACTTCACGACTAATGAAGAGTTTCGGAACACTAAAATTATTCGGAGAAGAAAAAGAAAAAGAAATACCTTGGTGGAGGCCTATTTTTTTCTTCCTTGAGGCTTTCCAGAAAAGTGGCGAAAGCTCTATCGGATAACAATTCACTGTATTGCGCACTGGTTGCCGCTTCAAATTTTTCTTTTTCATATTCTATCAACTTTCCAATCAGTTCATTTCTCGTTCTGAGAAAAAAATCTCCTCGTATTACAAAATTAAATTTTTTAAGCTCAACATTGGCACATTTTCTTCAAAACAAGCTCATTTTTCCTCACAATAATTCGCAAGAAAAAAAACTGCTTAAAAAAATATATAAAAAACACTGCATACTGTCACAAACTTAAGTTGTAATATGTCGCAACATGACTTTAAGGACAATACAATAAAGGTCTTCTAAGATTTTAATCAATCCCTTCACTAACTTTTATTATCTGAAGGAATGATATGAGACGACTCAAGTTTTCTAAGCACGCAAAACGCGCTTACTTTCGTTTATCAGAAATACCACTGTGATGAAGGTCCTTAACTACGGAATTGACAGCTGCCAAGATTTCTTCCGTAGCCACTTCATTTGGTTTCGGTTTTTTCCACTCTTTTTTCCGCTTGACCTCCAACAATTTTTCTGTAAAATAAGTTAGTAAGTAGTTTACAATCGGTTCATAGTAAAACAATGGATAAAAATCCAAAAAAAAAGAAAAAATTACTTCGTATGTCTTCTGGTTTCAAATTCTCATTTGTTGTTGCCTTGGGGGCCATATTTTTTGATTCTTGCCTAATTGATATATTTTTATCGGATGTCTTAGATCTTTGCAGGCTTTCAGTTTGCGAACCAGCATTACCATCATTTGAAGTATCGAAGGATCGCCGAATACGAGGAAAAGCTATGCGCTGTCTACTGATTCCTAATAGCACCGAACCACAACTGCGATTAAACATAGTTTCTGTTGTGTATCTAAATTATTAACAATGAAAAATATTTACATTTGTTGCTAACTCTGAAAACACAGAAAAGTTTTGATAAACAGAAGCAAAACCTGTGAAAACCAAACTATTAGAAATTTGTAGTCATGCTTATATATTCTACGGAAAAGTTCATATTGCTTATTCCGAGTACTTTATCCACCCACCCATCCAGACTCTTCTAAACCATTTATTATGTCCCTCTCTTTTCTCACCATTTTCTCTTAGCGACAACAAGTTTGTGTCAACAGTAAATGTACACAGCTGCAGTTGAAACTGGATTAGTTTGCTTACTGCTGAACTCCCGTACTCTTATTCGAAGTACAAGTAACCAACTAACTCAGCATCGTGTTTGACTGACTCTGAAAACCGTTCAGATTTTTTTCCTGGACAGAGAAGATCGGGAACGTGACTAACAAACGTTTTAAGTGATCCCGAGAAAGCTGTAAGGGTAAGCTCCATTTCCACTCATCAAAAGAGAATCGGCTAATGGTTAAACCGTAGCTTTAGGATATTTAGAAGCACTAAGCGGAAATTTTGGAAATTCTACCATGTAATTACACGGGATCGGTATAACAAGGTAAAAGAGAAAAGAGACGCAAGAGAATACATAATTTTGATTATCCTCACTTGGCGTCACTCGATATTTGCTGAACTTGATAACTCCATGAACAAAAAAAAAAACTTAGTTCTCTGTACTTCTTTATTGAACAATGAGGATCTGAATGGTAGCATATTTACGAACATGTGATAAATATGACATCTGAAAGCGAGATAAATTCCCATGCCAATATATAAGCATATTATCGGTATACAATATTAGCAGCAATATATAATAATATTAGCAAAAGTAAAAAAAATTTTAACAACCCTTAACTGACAGCTATAAAAATCTATAAAAAAAATAACATGAATAAACTGGTAAAAAAGATGATGAGGAAAACAATAAAGATGACCAATTTTACAGATGAACAGAGCTTCGAAAACTGAAGAACGCAAGGAAGAAGACAATACCTCAAAATCGTACATTATGAAATAATCGAACAGAATTCCTTACTTAAAATTGAAACCTAAACAGAAATTCGTACTAAATTTGGGCTATCCCTTGAAGAAAACATGACTTGTTTTATGCCGAGTAAATGCAGCTTAGCAGCAGATTCCGTAATAATCGGATCATCCTTATCTAGCAATAATTTAGCCACTCACAAATTTTTTACCCTTCGAAATATTTTTCTTCAGTTCTGGAATGGCAGCATCGACAAGGCCCTGTTCGTATGCGCTAAGCTCGCCTATTCCAAGAATCTTCTCAACTCCGTTTTTCTGAAAAAGTCAAACTAAATTAAAATTCTGCAGTAAAATATCAGTTCTCAAGCTGAAACCGAGGGTCAATCCTCACAATAACCAGCGAGAGATACTGTTAAATTTATAAAATTAAGTAAATCGATTAAGAAAGAAAAACAGCTGAAAGTCGTTGAACAAATAAAATAAGCAAACATATAAATCGATAAAACAGTTTACTTTGAGGAAAAATGAGAACTTTTCTTTTGAAATTATGCAAAACGAGGAACCTACACCAAATTCCAATGGTGTTGCAAAGTAGTCCACGCCGTTGCACATATCCGAAGCTACATATGCGCACTGAACGGATTTCTCACCTCTGAGACCTTTCAACAAATTTTCTACAAATTTCGAAGCTGCCAAAGCCATTGAAAGCGTAGCTGATCCCTAGACATTTCTGATAAGTATAATTCTACGATGCTACATATCAAAGAACATACTAAAAGTTCAATTACTGGTGAATCATATCAGAAAAGTTTATTTCTTGAAACATAACCTTCTTTGTGTATCAATCCTCATTCAGTCTGATCTTATATTAGCAGCACGAAGCATTTACATGAAAGTAAATAACGAAAGGTAGAATAGCGCAAGTAAGTGAAGATCAATGATGACTCTATCTTTAATGAAGAGTATCGGAAATTCATTCACTCAATGAAATCAAGAATCTCTAACTTACAGCTCCAGCCTTTGCTTTCACAACTTCCGTTCCAGCATTTTGGATTCGTTCTGTCAACTTCTTCACTTCATCATCCGAGAACTTACAGAACGGTTTCGCTTGCGAAAGAAGCGGAATGATAGTAATACCAGAATGACCACCAATCACGGGTATGTTTGTTTGCTCAGCATCTAGATTCTGAAAAAAAAATAAAACACAAAACTGGTAGCAATGCTATATGACGGTTATATGAAAAAGTGCGTATCCCATAAATATTTTTGAGAACCCTGCAACAACAATGAAGTATGAAAATACTTTGGCTTCTGCAACAAACGCTGCTGATCGTACAACATCGAGTGTTGTGACACCAAATATGCGTCGCGGGTCAAATACACCGTGTTTTTTGAAAATTTCACAAGCAATTGGAACTGTTGAGTTAACAGGATTTGTAATGATTGCAACGAAAGCTTTTGGACAATATTTGGCGGCTGCTTCACTTAAGTCTCGTACAATGCTAGCGTTCGTATTGAATAGATCATCACGACTCATGCCTGGAAGTAGCAGACTTCCACTACCTATTTAAAAATGCTACTAACAAAATTGGCAGTGAAGGATAGAATAAGAAATCTATGTTAGTTTTGTACCATAAAATTTCCGCTTTAAAAAAAATCAAAAAGATCGAAATTGAAGAACCTGGTTTCCTTGGTAGACCAGCGGGTATCACTACAATATCAGCACCCTTTAAAGCTTTATCCAGTTCATTTGCACCAGTATATCCTGTGACCTGAAGCCTGAACTTTGACTGCAAGAAGTTACACAATTATTGCGAACAGCGTGACCGATAACAGAACTTCAAGAAAAAAACAACGTGAAATTACTTAATATCTAATAATTAGCATAAAAGAAGTACGTGAGCTCTAGTGTCAATATGTGACAGATCCGCGGCCACACCTGGCGTATCTTTGATATCGTACAATGCCAAATTTGCTACATGCTTATTCATTTTTAGCAGTAAGCCAAGTGGCTGTCCAATACCACCAGCAGCACCCAACAAAGCAATCTGTAAATTGAGTTCCTGCCAAAATTAAAAGTGCTTTCGCTATAGTTTGCTTTCCACTTCTTACCCGGTCATAATTAAAACCTTACTTTAGGTGCAGAACTACTTAAACGTTGACTGCACATCTGCAAATTCTTCATTAATGGCTCCAAGACTGTTGACATCCTTCCAATAGCTGTCATTTTTACAGCTGAAATAGAAATGTGATTGATTTGCAAAATGACAAAGTATACTCGGCCGCAGATACAAAGTCGCATTTACATAAAAATTAGAAACAATAATTAATATAGTAAAGGATATGTTGAGCAAAATGGGATGTGAAACTTCCAAGTTCAGTAAAAACAATAGATTTAGTTCAGTGAACATTGGGATGGGCGAATCATAGACAAATCAATGTTCAGTGTGATATAAGCTGCTAACTTGACAATAAAGCAAACTATGTGCTTGAGTCAAAAGTCTTTAAGCGATGCATAGGAAGGAATAAACGACAATCGATGTAACTGTTACACTACATGACTTTTCTAAAAATGCTGCACAGTTCACTGTGCAGCTTTATCAAGGAGGAAAAGAACTGGTATTTTTTAATTGGAAAAAGAAAATCAGTTATAATAACTGGTCATCACTGATTGCTTATATAATGAAGAAAGATCCAAAGTCTTCGGTCACTGATGACAACAGCAATACTCCTTCTCCCAAATGTAATGGTAAACCGTCAGCTGTAACCAGCACCAAACTGATTTCCATAAGCGTACAAAAAAGTGACATAAATGATAACAACAAACACCGGACAAAAACCGCGCAGTCAGAAGAATCAAATGTTATATGTCACTTTGATGAAATGGATGGCAAGTATTCATTCGGTGGGATATGTCTGTGTTAATTAGTAATTGGTCGTGTGCAAGTTCCGTTTCCTCAACTTGTTGTTTTGCCTCGTACTGTTGTGCATAGTGAGATCGATATCGATCGATAGCTCTGATCGAGGTGAAGAAGAGTGGAAGTTTTAAGAGATGAATGCAATGAGACACAACTAATATACTTCTGGTCCTCACTAATCATTTCAGTTTAGGTCGATTGTTCTTTGTCCGTCCAATAATTTGATCCAAAGAAAAAGATGACTTTATTTCCATTTCCATATTGAGAACAGAATGATAATCCGCACAATTAGTGATAAACTTTAATGATTTACAACGCTGATTAGTGGTCTCCGACCAACGATAACACATGGCGCTGACCTTCATTCTATTTCTTAACGAAATTAGCTTTAATATTAGCTTATGTAAATTGTCGTCCCCATTAATCGCACAAAACATGCTGTTTACTGAGTGGTCTTAAATGTTTCAAGGAAGATCGCACATGAAATTTCGGGAGGAAAGTACTTTGGTGCACTGTAGGTCTACCGATGGTCACATTACTTTATCTCTAAGGATCATTATCCATCTGCCTCTTTCATCTTAATCCTTTATGAAGTGAATAACTTAGGCAACAGTATTCTGTCCATTTTTTTTGCAATGTGATGCATTACACGAAGACATGGAAGAGAACCAATTAATTAAGGCGTAATACCTTTGGCTGACGTTGTTATTTGCCATATAAAAACGATCACACATCACATGAAGGTCACCTATATATATACAAGGTCACCTATATATATACTATATATGTGTATATGACATATATGTGTCAAATTTAAATTTAATATCCATTGTTAACTTGCGTGTATGCATATTAATATGCTTGTTAATTTGTTAAATATGCATCCTCAGTGGGATGAAATTAATAATTTAAAAAACAATCATTTTTGCTCTTCCCATAATTTGAATCAGGCAATCAATCAAGTGACATCTGAAAATTTTAATGAAAATCACATGAAAAATTCCTCTGGTGCTTCATTTTTCTTCTGCATAATGACTCGTTCCATAGCCTTATCGAAATCTTCCAGACACACAAACTTTCTTCGTGCACGAAGTGCAAACATTCCGGCTTCTGTACAGATCGCCTAAAAACTATAGATTTTCGCAAATGAAAACAACCGAATAATGAAATGAGATACTGGATACCTTACAATCCGCTCCGGAAAGTGATAATTCTGAGGCGTATTTTTCGAATTTAACATTAGCTGCAATTTTCATTCCTGCTGTGTGTATTTGGAAAATTTTGAGCTTTGTTTTTTCATCTGGTTTCGGTAATTCTATTTTACGATCAATACGGCCTGGCCGGATGAGCGCCGGATCCAACACATCAATTCGATTTGTTGCCATTATTATCTGATTAGAGAAGGGGCTCATCATTTTTTTTGACCAATAATGAACATTATTTTCATGCATCTTGCACTTAACATTAAGACTAATACTCAAACAATACTTTGATTTGGAAGGGAGCATTTGGAAGTCCAATTTTATAGGATTAATTTCATGGAAGTGTTGGAAAGTGCACATTTCAAACATGCAACTACACTCCGATCTTTTACATTGCACTCAATTGTCACCGACTTCTTGCTCTTCATTAATGTAAAATTAAAATCGTAAATTAAAACTCAACCTATAGCAGGTTCACGAATAGATTACCTTGACATCACCGCGGCTTTCGAATCCATCAAGTTGATTCAGCAGCTCTAGCATTGTTCGCTGAACTTCTCGTTCACCACCGCAAGTCGTATCGTATCGTTTCGTACCAACTGCATCAATTTCATCGATAAATATGATGCATGGAGCTGATTCCCTGGCCATCCGGAATAATTCTCGGAAAGAATATTATTATGAGACTCTTGACATGTCGTGAGACGTTATTTCGTGCGTTGATTTTTTCTTGTGGGCAAGTTAACTTACCGTACTAATTTGGAGCCATCGCCGCTATTTTTCTGGATCAGATCAGCACCAGTAACCCTGATGAACGTCGCCGATGTACTGTGTGCTACCGCTTTAGCTAGCAAAGTTTTTCCTGAAAAATGAATAACCACTCTTCGAGATCTCCTTTTTCGCTAATGGGAACTTAAACTGATTTGGTATACGAATATTGAATCTATCATTGATCATTTCAGCATGATAGGCGTTCTGTGAGTGGTTGAAAAACGTTCCAAAGATTTCGTGTATCAGTAATGCTATCTATTCAGTAATTTGTTGCTGATTATGGAGATCTTTTTTTATTACTGGCCTTCTAAAGACTGTTAAGAAGCTGTTGTTATATTGTAAGTTTCAATTTACCGGAAGTATTTCTCTTATTTCCTTCAAAAAATATCGATGAAAACAACCTGTTCCCGGCTCGCCGAACAAAATGACACCTTTTGGCGCTGTAATACCCATTTCTTCATAATATTCCGGATGAACAAGAGGTAACTCGACAGTTTCTTTGATTTCCTGAATCTGTTCTTCCAATCCTCCAATATCCTGGATTTCTTAGAAGTGTACATTTTTTTTAACATAAAAAGCATACGTATTATGTATTATGTAATCCTTTTGAACTATCTTCTCCAGGATATAATGTTTGGAAATATACTACCTTTGCATTTTTTAAGCATTATATACATAGCTTGAAGATATGACCAGTGTTTCTCTTCAAGATTTTGTCTTGAACATTTCAAGATTTTATTTCGTATTTCGTTAGTGTTTCAAAATCTGACGGAAAACTAGTAAATAAACTTTGCTAGTTTTCGCCATTACAGACTTCGAACTTAAATGTCAAACTGACACTGAAAGATTCTTTGGGTGCTCTTTCAAGTTTATTGATGATCGAATTAGAAGCATCAACGCTGTCATGCAATACTCCAACCACTGCAATAGGAACATTTTTCAAGGATCCTTGTGCTTTTACCATAACCAATGCACCAATCCGAATTAGATCTTTGTCAACGATGGATAATATCGGTATGTACCATTCCCGTTTATTACCTTCGATAACCACTACAGCATGCTGCAGTTATGAGAAACTATTTGAATGGAAGAACAGTTTTAATCAAATTAAGAAAAACATAAAAATTAAGCATTATGCTGAGTTATTGCATAAACCATTGAAATATTTAGCTATGACCATTTTTCTGTTATCCGTGTTGTCGTCATTCTGGTATTTTTGTAAATGGTGATGAAAGAACTGATGCAGTACTCCTTGTGATTATAGGGACAGAAAAATTTGCTTGTCTTCAAAAAAAAAAATTCCTTTTGAAATTTTCATATTCCTATTCTCTTCCTCAAGTTTTATCATCTGTCTACCTTATTTCAATTTCCATATGAACCTTTTCATCGAGGAAAAGCTCATGAATTCGAGCAAGTGCAATAGGTGAGCCACGTAATGCATTCACAGTTTTACGTTCCTTCTTCTGTTGTTCACTGATTGATCCACGTTTCCCTTGACGTTGAATGAACTCTTTTTCCAACAACAGATAATCTTTTATACGACTCATTCGTAAGAATTTTAGATAACAATATCTTCGTGGCATTACTGAAGTGATACTTCCAAAAGCTGAATACTACTGTTTTTGTTTTATAAGCTGCTTCTTTGTTGATAACAGGTCTTACTGTAATAAACTTAATAACTTAGTCAAAGGTATATCAAATAAGAATTTTTATTATTGATTGATTTAATTTCCAATTATTAGCACTGAGTCAAGTCAATGACATTATTTAGTGAAAAATTTCTAATGGGGTATGAATTATTATTCAGCACCTTGTGGCAATTTATTGGCTGTATCTTGACCTCGCTGCGGTTTGCGCGCAATTTTCATTAGGGCATGTTGTGGCATCGTTACTCCTTTTCTATCCGGCCTAGTCACCTGATTACCCATTTTCCTTTGAGTATGGATAACGTACTATTCAATGTAATACTTGGTAATTAATGTGTAATCCTTAAAAAGCTTAATGATTCAAGTGACTCTACCGCACAAAGCATGAATATAACTAGAGAAATAACATCAACCTTATCAAACTGTATTTTATATACCGTACAACCGATGTTAATCATTTCAGTTTAGCAGAATATTGATCCGATTGAAAAGTTAACAATCCTTTTTGTTATCGATGCATGCAAAAGGATATGAGGCAGAGAATACATATAAGGACATCTTACACCTTTTCCGCATATTTTACGATAGCGTGACACATGGTATGACAATGTAACGAGTTATTTTGATAGAATTTTGACATTTTTTCTCCCTGCTTTCCAAATATTATCGCTCTTCTCACCCTTCCCTATCTTACCACTGTTATGTATCTCGAATTTGTGCCATGAACTGCATTTAAATGAGCATTTTGTATATGATATTTGATAGATTCAGCAAATCCATGATTCTTTAGATGGAAGGATCAAATGACTATGAAATCAGTACAATATCCACGAATCGTCCCGTTTACTTCCATTTCTATCATTTCATTGTTTCACTTTCAACCTCACCTCCCCCTTCCTTCTTGTCCTGAAAAATTTCCTTTTTAATCATTCATTAAAAAAAATTAAAGCACTGAATTCAATCACTCAAACGTCCAAGATAAATCCATAAGGTTTGAAGGCTTAATTGACAAGGCAACCAACTCTTCAGTAGAGCTTAATCAAAGTGTTTACACTTCCGGAACTATCCCAAGCCACCCATAATTCCATCTACTTTCCTCGCTTCCTTTGTCTCCTCCACTATGAAACACTTATGAAGAAAATTATAATTTGATGGACATGTGCACATAACACACACACATACACCTTTATATATGTGTATCACAGACTTACCGTATCATTTTCCTTCTTATCCGATTTAGCTTCTTTTTATCCGTCTCTCCCTCCTTTTTGTCCGTCTCTTCCTCCTTTCTATCTGTTTCTCCCTCCTTTTTGTCTTCTTCTTTCTTTTCTTCCTTCTCTTCTTTCTTTTCATCCTTCTTATCTTCTTCCGCCTTCTCCTCTTTCTCGTCGCCTCCCTTTTTTTTTCTTCCTTCTTTTCTTCCCCATCACCCTCCCTCTTTTCTTGACTTTTTTTCCCTTCCTCTTTTTCCTCATTTACCGGCACTTCTTGTGTTACCATCACTTTCATCTCATTTAGGATCTTTTGGTCACTTTGTTGAGTCTGCAACGACAATTTATCAGTGATAAGTTCAATCCCACAATGCTAATGTATCATGGATGGAATCATCTCTTTTTTGGTTGATTGAGATGATCTGTTCCTACGTTACTTCACCTGTCCATCTGAATCATTGTCACCACAATTTAACACTCATTCTTTGCAATTCCATCGTAGTTCAACTTAAACCCAAATATATGTGACCACTCTCAAATTCAAAGTTAAATCAGATGCAATGATACTAACTTTCGCTGTAATCCTTGCTTCTTGTATGGATCCCTCCTTCTTTGAACCCTCTTTCTTTGAGCTTTCTTTCTTTGAGTCTTCTTTCTTTGAACTCTCTTTCTTCGACTCCCTCTTTTCCTCAGCCTGAAATTTGAAACTTTCATTAACAATCAAATATTTTAATACTTTCAGTTCTGCTGAAATGATTTTAATTATCATAAAAATTCATACTCTCTAGATGATGCGGGCTTTATTGGCATTGGGGAATAAGTAAAAAGAATTTTGCATACATTTATGATTGTAGCACATTGCCTTCTTCTGATAAGTAAATAGCCCATCGATGTATTCATATTGAATTTTACAATGATTACAAATAAAATGATTTACTTCCTTTGCAGACTCTTTCTTCTCTTCTCCTTTCTTTTTTTCGCCTTCACTTTCCTCGATCATAGATTGCGTCTTCTGTTCATCCATTGGTGGTAAAACTGCTGGTACTGCTTGTGGCTGACCAGTAGGAATTGCTGTATTATTGACTCTGAATTCAGTGAAAAAAATTTTTTTTTAATACTCTAATGTGTCATTTCTTGACCATAAGGAGGTCAGTAGTAGTTAAAGTGAGAAGTTCTAAACGGTGGTTGGTTAGAATTTCTGATTGTCCTGGGAATTTCGCTAAAAAGGAAATCTCTATTCCAAACTTAATTATTCCAGTAAGTATCGACTGTAAACTTGTGACTGCGTCTCTGTGTTAATTACTTCTCTGCTTCTTACTTAACTTTGTCAGTGAATATGAAGAAACGAAAACTTTTTCTTGGTGCATTGTATGATAGCGATCAGAATAAAAACTGTAATGGCGGCCAAGCTGAAGATTTGATGAGCGAGCATTGTTTCATCGATCATGTTTGCCTTGTTTTTTTTTTCCTTTTTCTATATCAACAAATGGCCTGGGAAATAGGTGTATCAAAAGTTACGTCTAGATGATATGTCAAGTTTCGGAAGCTGAAGTTTGTTGTCAGCCTTGGAGCAGCAAGGATACTTCAATGGGACAAATCTGTTGGTTGCACAATCTCTTAACTTTGGTTAGTAACCAGGGATTTCCCTCAAAGCAAGAGAGATAAAGTTTAAATTTCCAACTGCCTTATGTACGTAGTGAAAACTTACAATAAAATTTCATTCATTTTACCATATCTTTAACAACTTCCAATATATTTACATAATTTTGATATCATCTTTTCATTAACATAAATGTGACACATCATCTGTTATTATTCACGTATTCATTTATTAGACACAATGTCAGAGGACATAGGACCATCTGAATTGTAGTTTTAAGCATTACCATCGCGTGTTCCGATATCAGAGTTGCGCCATATTTTCCATTATACCTTGACTTTCGGGCAGTTCATAGAAAAAAGCAAACTTTGTCTTTTTTTTTTCTACATATCATTAATGAAGTAGTACGCTTATATTGCTTCTAAATTGTTTTCAGCTTCCATAAATTTCTTTACTATTTAATCATTAATTTATTGTCTTCGGTGCAGTTCATTCTGGCCGATGATGACAAGGAAGTGTCATCAAGGTATTCTAAGCGGATTTTTACAACATTTATATCAATTATTTTGCTTGAAATAAGCATAAACTATTTGTTTAGATCAGTATTATCTTATTACCTTTTCTAATAATCAATCAAATTATGTGATTATATCGATGTAAATATACCATTTATTGCTATTGGTTCAACTTGTAGATGAAGCGTTGGGCGGAATAATATACATTTATATGAAGTACATAAATGCAACCAATTAATAAATTAAACAGGAAATGAGTATAATTACTGATAATTTTGAAGTTTTTATCAGATAGTGCAATATTGATGGTTCGTATTTGAAGCTATTCCGCAACGGATTTGTTACATTTGAAACATTAAACTTCCTCGTATGACTAAGCAAGTGAAGTTATAAGTGAGTGTCATGAGCATCACTTCTTTCATTTCCTGTAATATCGGTTGCAACAAGTGGGATTTCAAAAATGAAACGAATTTAAGTGGATTAAAAATTTGCATAGCTATGAAATTCAAATTATAAATGTAAGAATATGAAGGCTGATATAGACGATTGTTCAAGAACTTAAACGCATATAAATATTCATAATTTTATTTGCCCTAGCTTCAGACGAGGGCATTCTATTTTGACGTGTAGTGAATCGTCAAAAAGCTGTGATGACAGAAGCGACAAAGGTATTTTTTTTTAGAGATTCTGGATTTAAACGACATTAAAGTTAATCTAAATGTTTGGAAAATCTAGGTCTAAATGCGGATGAGGTTAGACATCCGGAACGGATCGCGATATGATGTTTTCTGGTGGTTTTATTTCGAGAGTAGTACATTTTAAAAACAAAATAATCAATGAATGGTTTTTGTCCTAATAACAGCATGTTGGCGAGCATCAACATATAGTTTTATGCATTATGTCATTTCCGTTAAAGTGATTTAAAGATGAATGTTTTTTTTTTTTGATTTATTAAAAACAACCGATTCTTCTCTTATAATAAACATATCATTAATATATTTCAAACAAGGAATTCAATATGTACGTCAAGTATTGCATTCAAAACCCTTTTGAGTATTGGTTAGAAGTAAAATCATAATTTACTCATAGCTGCTTCAAATATTCTTTGCTATTCTAAGCAACGACGCAAACTTCATGCTTTTTCTATATAGATTGACAAATCTATTGTCGCATACTGCAATGAAGAAAAATCATGGTTGCATGTTCATCATGATGAAGGTTTGTTTCCGAATTTATTTCTATCAGTAATCCTACATTTGTTTCCTTCTAATGCTGTTGCAGTATTTGTAGAACGCTTTTAAGCCTTAATTAATTTAAGAGCGGCTATAAATTATACAAATTTATTTGAAACCATCATTTGACTTTTGCTTCTGACATTTCCAGATATTCTTCCAAATTATTTCGAAAATAGCATTGGTCTGGATGAATTTGGCGATGTGGAATTTAGCAGTATTCAATTTCAACATAATTTCCGACTTCATCGAAAAAGCATACAGGTAGGAAGCTAATAACATACAGACTAATCAATTTACGAAAATTAACTAAAACTTGGGAAATTCTTTGCTGATCTTAATCTATTTTGCAGGCTGTAATTGAAGTAGGCAGTTCGTTGCAATCTTTCGTCCCGATGATTGTCTATCACCGGCATGTTTGGTGGAATTACGGCTACAAATTAACGCTTGAAAAAAGTATAAATTGTATACTATAATGAAATATAAACATTTAGCCGTCTTTGAAACAGTCATTTTGTATCAATCAGATTCCTCAGTCAGCATTTCACATAACCAGAATAATCGGAAATATTTCAGCTGTAGAACAAATTATGCTAAAAGTGTTTTAACAGAGGCAAAATTGTTGTCATACATTTTTCAATTCTTTATTAATTTCCATACAAACAACAGATGAATGTTTCTCATTGCTGTTGAGAAGTCTTGGACCTACAGCAAATCCGGGGAAAAAAGCGCCACGAGGAGCATTTGGCAATAATTCACCAAACAATCAAAAGCCACCACCTGCATCTAATGTCCGTGTTACTCTTGGTGTGAAAAAAAACGGAATTTTAGAAGCAATTATTGAAGGTAAGTATTTCATTGGAATGGTGAATGTGAAGAAATGAATTCAGAAGCCAAAAAATTGCCAAAAAATTGAGCTTCAGAAGAACTGGTCGAAAGTCCTCATGGTACTGGTTTCATCTGCTGTAATCTGATAAACCGATCAATTTTACACGAACTGATCGAGAATCATGAATTTATTGTTTTACATATTTCGATGAATATTCATAAGAATTACTTTAATATTGAAGAGCTTATTGAATCTTCTGTTACACTACCCATAAAGTATGTCCTTTTTATTGCTGAAACTTATTATTTTGTTACTTTTTGTATTACTTTTGTTATATTTTTTTTTTTTTTGCAAATGTAAATCTTTTGCAAATTTCTTCACATTTAATCTGCTCAATTGTTTATTTACGGCAAGACAAGCTTCAATCAAGCAATGGATAAAAATTTGCAAATTGAGAGGAGGAGAAGAAGTACAGGTAGAAAAGTTGGAATTTTCGAAGAAATAGGTGAAGATGGTTTTGCGCTTAAGCACAATTTTTAACTGACTGAAGCTTTTTCAATTGTTAGGACATCGATGAATCCTGAAAATTATGATTTGCTAGAAGCAGTGCTGGCATGTGAGCCAAATCGCGATTCAGATTTTGTTTTTACAAGAGGTAAATAAGCATTACCAGATCTTGGTCAGAGAAATGGACACTCTTACCATAGTTTAGAAAAGATATTAGTATCAGGTAGAATCTGTTGTCAAAATATTCCCGGAATCCATTGGAACGAAAGTTAAGAATATAAAATAATTGATAAATAAAGTGTTGTATTTGATTAAGAGTTAATTATGTATTTGGATTCATTTATTAACAAAAATTAGCAAACTATAATATTTGCAGGAAGTGGTGCGAACAATGATGCAACGTCTTATCATGTCCATCAGAACATTCTTAAACGACGGTCATTCATGCTAGAAGGTATTCTAAGACAGAAATACTCACTTCCAACTGACCAACTACTCGTGATCGATGCTGAAGATCGTATTATTTTTCCATACTTAACGGATAATGACATGAAATTTGTTAGTTCATTTTGAAATTATAGCTCATTATCTTTCAAACTTTAAAATAACTTTCATTAATTCCTAAATCAAGAATCACTTCAGTTGCTCACTTATTTGTATACGGGTGAAATAATGTTGCCGAAATTTGATGGTTTCGCAAGAGTAGGTCGTGTTCTGTCGCTGTTGATTGATCGTGAGCAATTAATCAATATTTTTATGCAATGGCAGAAATTGATTGTTCAAAATCTTCTTCAAATCGAAAAGGTCCTGTTTTTTTCTTAATCTTACTTCCTTTCAATTTAAGAAAAAACCAATGAGTTTGATTGCAAGTACAACTTTCCATCGTAATTCATCTAACTGGTTGTAACACTTGTAGGATTTCAATTTAAACAATCATAAATATACTTAGAAATAATATTGCTCAATTTTAAAAGCAACTTGATCTTTACTGTTGTGTGCATAACTTATTGATACCAAAATATTTCAAAAAAAAAAAATATAAATATTATTGTTGAGTTTGTGGATTACTTCATTAACGTCTATATAACCTTTTTTACTTCAAATTTGCTGAAAGATTTTATTTTTTCCATTTGGGATGAAAGCAAATTCCAGAAGAATAACAACGATCTTATTGTTGAAGAGAGTTTCAAAGCACTGATATCAGTGTTCAGTGCACCGTATGGAGCATTACCGTACGCGAAGAGAATGGCACTTTCCTTACTTGCTGATCAGGTCCTTTATTTATTCATAACAATTCTTTCTTTCTAATTAAAAACTTACAAAGAACTACTGATCACTTGCAGATAACGAAAAGCAATGAAACTTTGGCAGAAAAATATGATAAACAGTCGCAGTATGGTCGGTATCAGGTTGGACATTTCATGGAAACTGCACTGAAGCTGAAACGTTTCATTACTTCGGTCAAGAAAATACCTCATCCTCTTTAAATTATTATAATTAGCATGCTTTTAAAATTATGTGACCTCGTTTCATTTCAATAAATATCCTGATCTTAATGAGGTTATTATCACTGACAAATCATGGGAACAAAGGGATCAGAGGTCACGACCCATAACATTGGAGGATGCATGTTTTTCGAAATATCAAAATGGAGCTTTTTAATATAGTTACTAGATAGTCATATGGAAACAGTTATTCTAGCGATCTTCAAAATTTCGTGGAAAGTTTCGTGAATGATTTATAGAATTAATTATCATTATAGATTACGATGACCTCAGCGGGAAGCTGACATCGTTGAAAAAAATTCTCAAAAAACGGCCAGAAAAGTGAAGTAGTTTTCCATAAAATTTAAATTTGGGTGTATTTGAGACTCTACTGAAGCATGTTGCAGGAGATTGCATAAGTGATGCTAATTTTCACTTATAATGTCAATGAAATCTGCATCTTATAAAAAATTAATGTTAGATAAACAAAATAGAAGAAGTTTTAGCAATCAGTTTATTATTTTTATTAGCTCAGCAGGGTGACACTGTTGGCAGCGACAATGAAATCTTTTAATGGGGAAAACGAGTCGAGACTTGTACAGTTTCCGAACGGCAAAGTAAGTGGTTGCTTTAATCATTCATGGTGAAATTGAATTTAATGTTATGGTGCTAATTTTATGACCTCCCTTCCTTCATATCTCCCGTTCAGTTATATCTGGAAACATATAGCTAAATAGGACGAAATACAATTACAAAATCTGGGTTTTGTAGATAGTTGGAGCACGATGGTTGGTAAGAAGAATTTTAGGAACTGGTGCTTATGGGGCAGTTTATGAGGTACAAAGCGTAACAAATCCTCTAATCAGTGGAGCACTCAAAGTAAGTGAAAGGAGTTTTGAATCAAATTTTTGTGTTAAGTCTAATTCCAGTGAATCAGTACGTTATTAATTGGTGGCTATTATTTTTCCTTGTTTTTACTCTTTTTTTGTAAATCACCAAAGAAATTTCGGCAGAAATGTATATATTCCTTGATTTAGTTCTTGAATTTCAACTCCATAATCACTGAAAGCTCGTTTCGGCATTTTTTTTTCATGCAGGCCGAATCAAATTCTGCAACAGATAGCATTTTAAAATTGGAAGTTGAAGTATTAAAGCAACTACAGAGTCGTAAATATACCGTTCGTCTGTTGTATTCTGGCAAAAGAGAAACATATAGGTCAGGAAGATGATTTCGGAATTTCCACAACATAACTTGTTTAAAGATGAAAAAAAAGGAAAAGAACGAAATCGCAATAATATTTTTGAATTATAAAATAATATATATCACAGGGTTCTTAGTAACTTCAACTCTTAATAACTAATATATTAAGAGATTCAACTGAAATAATTTAATTTTGCAGTTACATGGTGATGACATTGTGCGGTCCGGATTTGCTCACATTGAAAAACATGAAGAATTTGGTGACATTCAGCGAAAGTACCACACTTCGTATAGCTGTTTTGAGCTTGTATGCCATCAAACAGGTATAAAATCACACATTCAAAATTAAAAAATATTTGTTGTTGAAGAACATTAAAGTAAACTTGAAACATTCAAGTCAGCCTCTCGGAAGAATTTACCTTTAATTTCTGCGTATTCGTATTCTCAAAAGTTTTAGCATACCCTTTAACATCTTCAGCATATGATAGTGATTTCCGGAATGAATCTGCAAGCTTAATTGTTGCAGTTACATGAAATTGGCTTTGTACACCGCGATATAAAGCCGAGTAATATAGCAATATCACCATCTGCTAGTGTTCGGCACATTATGTATTTACTGGACTATGGAATGGTTCGGAAATACGCGATTTACAATAACAAACGATGGCTTATCAGACAACCTAGAAAGCGGGTTACTTTTAAATCAAAAAAAACTTGAACAATTTAAAAACATTTAAATAAGCTTGATTTTCTGGAAAAAAAATCTGATACCCACTCTTTCACTATGGTATGAGGAAGAAAAGGTCCGCTCTCTCTATGAACAAGTGAAAATTTTCTGAGCTGTTTTACAGGTTTTACTTCGTGGAACATTGCGTTATTGTTCAGTGAATACTCACAAACGGAATGAGCAGGTTTGCAATTCAAAGAGTGTCGATACAGATCAATCCACTTCAGAATTTTGAAATGAAAACAAAAGATACATTTTAGTTCATAATGATCATTATGACTTCAAAACTAACTTCTACATATGAATAATGTGCTAATGAATAGACTGAAAAGAGAACAAACAAATAATGCATCAGGATGATGATGAATAAAGAACCTCATCTTCGTTTTAGGGACGAGTTGATGACCTCTGGTCACTGATGTATATGTTGATTGAATTACGCAGCAATTATCTGCCCTGGGGTAAAGCTACACGTGAAGATCGTATTCTCTATCTTAAAGAATCTATTTCTGACAAGCAACTTCTGTCGAATGGAAAGATGGAATTTTATGAACGAATCTTAGCACATCTCCGTAAACTACGCTACCCAGATAGGCCCGATTATCATTACATGTATAAACTGGTACTGGTCTACGATAGATTCCTGATAATAACAGAATTTTTGATAATAACAGAATCTTATAATAACACTTTCTGACAAAAGATTTTATCATTCCGAAGTCAACACCAAATTCAACTCACTGTGTCATTTAAAGTTCAAGATATGAAATGGAAATTATCACAATCTCCAGATGGTATCACCAATGATAAGGAAACGGTACTTGTTCAACGAACCATATGATTGGGAAGTTGTATCGGAAGGTGAAACGCAAGAAGAATCGGAATCGTCGAAAAAGTTCTGCACATCTTCATCAAAATCAACTAGTCCGATTAATGCAAAACGTAAGTTCCTTTTTGACCGTTTAATTTACATCAAGCTTCATGGACTAAAATATTTTGAGCTCAAAGGAAACTGCTCCGTTTCAGAACAAACTGCATCTAAGCATGAAGAAATATTATAAAAAATCCTTTTGAATGATGTGTGGATGATGAAGTCAACTAATATTACATATGGATTTGAAATTCCATTACTGACCACTGAGTGACCGAGTAGGTATTTGATAAACCGAGTTAGCTTGACAAATACTTCTAAATATGGACAAAATATCTGGTGAATTTCTTCACGATTGCTGGATTGAAAATGCTCTATGCAACCTTTACTGTTAGGGTTGGATACAGTATTTGCAATTCCAGTATACTAGATCCATTTTTTTTAGAATAGAATCCGGAGTTAAAGATCCCTTGAAGTAATTCTTTTCTTGAATCAAACTTTTTGGTTAGAAGGCATGAAAAAATCACTTATATTTACCACGCAAATATGACATATATCTTCCAGTAAGTTCTAGAATTTAACCACTCGTTCTCAAACGAAACAATCCAACGCACAATTGTATTATAGCTTCCAGTTCAATCATTCCGGAAGATATACCAGTGGCACAGGAGCATGCATTTGATGAGGGCGAAAATGATGTACCGGATATAATGAAAACCTCTTACCATATTTGTCATCGACGACAAGAACGTGACCGACATGTCTTGCAGGATGAAAGCAACACACCAAATGAAGATTTACCGTAAATTCATTTTCAGGTTAGCTGCAAAATTGTTGCAACCAGTTTAAGCAATAAATTATTTCATAGAATAATTTAAATCCGTTAGCTGAAACTCCTCTAGGATCTGGTCCATACGCATAACAAAATCACGTTTTGAATTAGAACCCGTCTTTCAACACCCTTCAATACTGTCATTTCCATCCTTAGAAGCTAAAACACAGTCACCGCCTTCCCCGGTAGAGCCCTCATGACATCAACATACAAATCCACACAATCAAAATCTAACAAAGTTTATGGAAGATGCAACTTATCCTTGCCCCATGAATTCACTCGATATTTTTAAAAACGACCCTCTCAATAAGAGGATAAATTCAAAACGATACACTGAAATTCAAAAATCAGAAGTGAAAACCAACCTTTTGTTTTATTTTTGATTAAAATTTCTTATCTAGGCGATATAGCATTTTTTTTTCAATAATTTCTTGTAGGCAAAGTATCGCAAAACTATTTTACTTTGACAGAACGAATATTTATACATTGCATCGATATTGCAAACACGACACTGTATCTTTATTGGACAACACAACCCAACCGCTTCATAATAACACCACATGCAGAGATTTTCAAAAAAACATAGAAATCCATATCATCGTAATCGAAAAAACTGATGACGGGAAACAAGCACGCAGCCAAGCTAAACATAACGGATAACTAAGACAAACACAAACCACTGCAAATTAAATGCATTTTTAGAAGTTCAACGTTTCTAGATAACTTGAGAAAAAAAAAACAAGAATGGAATTTTAGAATAAAGGACTTTTGAAATGTCTCAAAATGTTTGAAAATTTTTAGAAAACTGAAGCTTGGAGACGTGTATTTACAAAAAAATTTGGAGAAGTTAGGAAGTTCCTAGGAAGATACCAATTTTATTTCGCGAAATAACATTAATGCTATACATGTGGGTAGGTATCCCAGATAAAAAACAGAAACAAAACAGAAGACAGAACTTCAATAAATTATGTAAATACCCTCAAACCAAAAATAAAAGTTGTACGAAAAGCAAATGGTACGAGGCCAAGAAATATCACATATTTTCTTCAGCACCGCGAGCCTCTTCCAGGATCTTATCAAATGAAAAGGGAATAAACGCATAACCAAGTCCTTTATAGAATTTGCTTTGAAATTCAACCCTAGTAAATGGAATTAATTTACAGAATGTTGTACAATTAATAATTAACAAATCTTTTTTAAATTAAAAATTTTCCATAGACTGAGTTCTTGTATAAAATTAATCACTAACAGCCCTTACCATAACTACCTTTAAAAATACTATAAACATATTTCCGGCAATCGCGTTACAGCATTTGATAATGCTGTCCAATATGTCTTTTAAACGTATTTCAAAATAAAGTTTGAAACCTACCAATGAAGACGAAGAGCGTGTAGAAAAGCACTGAGACCTTCCATTAAGACTAAAATTGAAAATGAAAGAGAAGCAAATAGAAAAAAGAGAACATATGTCGCCACCGCTCCCATATAACCATTCAGCATGAATGCCTGACGGAAAACCATCGTCCATAGGACATCTGATAACTCTACAAGATACGAAACATCGTCAGTGTACACTAGGAAGGCTGTTTTTCAGTAATTTGAAGTAAAATTTAAACTCAAATTCTACTTTTCTACTTTTGTAGAAAAACACTACGCTTACATCCTTATAAAAATCAGTCACTTCTGTCATTTCCTCCCCCCTTTCTTTCCCTCAATCTTTCCAATCAATATATATGAAAAGAAAAAAGAAACCTCTCCCCAAAGATCAGCCAGCATCAAACCGCCAAGACGCGAAACGCAATATACAAAACAAGACCAACAGGTAATTTATAACTTACGAGCATGAGCAAGTGAAAGTGCCCAAAGCCGAAGATATGAAGCAGTATGCGATACGCAACCTAGAGCAAATTCGATGGTATGAATAGCTTGATAAACCATAACATCACCAAAATCGAACTGAAAAACAATTTAAATTCAAACTTTAAAAAAGTATTGAATCTTCTATGTCATCATCTAGGAAACTAGATGAACCCTTTCAAAAACTCAGAAACTACATTTAAATAAGAGTATACTTTTTCCTCAATACGCATAACCGATGATCTCGATAAATCATTATGGATTATATGCGCATCATCACCGTTCGATTCAGCACGGACACTCTAAAAAAACTAAGAATGTAATGAATTTTCAAAAATTCCTTGAATAGAAAAAGATAAACACGGCAGAACAGGCAGTTCAAAAACATTAGCTGAAGTAACGAGAACACTGAATTTCTAGAATCTTTAATCATGCTTCCATCCATTTCACTATAAAATGATAAAAATTAATTTCGTCAAATAGTGCTGGAAACGACCGATTTAAGTGCCGCTCGGCGTTATGTAATTGAACGCGCTCCAATTCCCATTTTTCCATTGGAAAATCAAAGTTATACAATCTAAACCTTGGACTAAGCTATGGATTTTGAAATTCCAAATAACTGATTGGAAAAAAAAGTGACAGAACCAATCTTCTCAAAAAATGTTGGACCGTTATGCTGCAGGGAATTCTTTAATTGGCTGCAATTTTCCTTATACAATTTTGTAGTTATATGAGCGGCACTTGAATCATTGTGACACCACTAGGGTCATTTCGATTACACCCTAAAAACACACACACAGCCACAAGCACATGTTACCAAATTTAAACACCAATAATAACAATTACTAATCCAGACTAGCTGAAAGTAAGTCCTATCGAATTTTACAGTCAAAAGTTTTGATCATGAAGTTCCCAAAGTTTTCTTGAGTCTCAATTTCAGATCCTAAAAATCAATCGTTCGAATCCATTGACTTCTGTAACTTTCAACCAATCCGGATAGCACTTATATTTAAATATTTTCAAATACAGGAATTTTCAAACCAAATTAGAACTGCCCAAGGTTGATTGTTCTTTGTGTTTTTTCCACTGCATGTACGGTTTACCAAATAACATAATCGGAATGCACGCTGCCGCAGTGAGCACAAATAATGTTTCAAAGAATGACTAAAATTATTAAAACTGCAGATATGTAGAAAATAATTTAATCAAGTATTCGAAAGTTCGTCAAGATATGATCAGCGAGTAAAAAATAAGCAAACAAATGCTACAGTGTGCAATGTACATGATTTTTTCTTCCTTATTTAACTTATTTAGTCAACCCCTACATTTAGAAAAGAAATTGAAAATGAATCATAAGATAATTTCAGTGGAAAAGAATCTGAAACTAACCTGACCCGGATACCAAAGATTCAGATAACACTGCGGATACACATTTCCTTCGGAATTGACAAATCCAGATGGGCGACTCGTCATCATAAACATCTTAATAAGTCCCATTAACAACGACGGAGCACAGTTGGACGACGGGTATTCATAACCCAAAACATGACCACTCTGCAATATTTGCACATAAAAGAAGCCACTCAAATAGAAGCCTATAGTGATAAAGTGAGGCTACCAAAGTCTGGAAAGGTTTCAGGATGTCGATATGTAAAGGAAAATCATATGTTCATGCATTTTATGAAAGTAACCTAATTTCTGCATGCAATTATTTAGAAATATCAGCGAGTGCAAACATTAAATCTATGGTTTGTTGTAACCATGACTAGTATTTCCATCACCAGTAATTACTCCAACTAAAACGAATTAAATCGAATAGTTTTCAGCTAGTGATTCCAAAATAATTTCTAATAAGCAAGTAATCAAAAAAGATATCGGAACCCTTACAAGTTCATACTCGCTTCATCATTACTCCTTACAGTTTACAGTTATCAACCTATTACTTTTTGACTAGTAGGGATGTACAATATGTACTATACCAATCTCCTACAGATTCTAAAAATACTGGAATGATCACCTTGGCCGAGAAAAGTAACCATTTGAAGAGAATTTCTACGCAAAGATAAATAAAAATGCAACTAAGGAATATCAATTGTGGGACAAACATATATAGGATATCCAGACGAGAACCAAAATATCTGCAATCAATAACAAATCAGTCATTTCTATCTCGGGAATCTTGTAAACAAAAAGTGAAACGGTATTGCATTAACTCCTAGTTAAACTCATATCCTCAACTTATTCGAAATCGATGTAACCTGGATTCTTATAAGAGAATCAAAAGCAAGGATGAGGAAAGCAAAAAACGCAGTTAAGCTCAACAGTTTCCCAAAACTCAAGAAATAGAAAACTTGAACAACCGTTTAATATTTTGCACTTTTTTTAATGAGAGTAGAGCTTTCACAGAAACGTTATTTCGAATCACAGCTTACTTGTAATTTTCATAACTCAACATGATACCAAATGTCATTTGCGCAACACCAATTATGACAGACATTTTCATTTTCATCGAGTTCAAAAAACTCAATTTATTGCCCTCAGCAAGATTCCAAATTGGATCAACGCCTATGGGATAAGGTCCGACTGACTGAAATGGAGAAATAGGCCGTGAAAAAGCAATGAGATTATACAGACGAATTAGTGGCAATGTAAAATAATATGTTCGAAAGGAAATCCAACAAAAAGTGAAGAAAAGTTCAAAATTATCCAACCAAATTGTAATAAGCCCATTGTGGTGTAAGCATAAGTTGTTTCTCAGGCTCATATTTATTTAAATCAGCGTAGATATTTCTCCATGAACTTCCGAATAAATTGAACGATTTGCTATATGCATCGTTATAGATGAACCCCGTGTATACGGAGAAGCAACCCATCAAAAATATCACATAACGACCGTTAAAAAATATTTGGAAAATCTGCAGTTAGAGCAAATATTACCAAGCTTAATAAATTTTGCACGAAACCTAAATCTGAATCAACTCAAATTACATTTTTACATAGCGTCGATATAATCTTCTACTGACAGTGCAAATATTTGCTTTCTCTAACACGCAACCTTGCAACCAGGATCCGTGATAGGTTCCTTCATTACCTCTCAATCCCATACCGCACGATTTC